GTTTTCGACACTATTGGTGGCAATGTATCTTCTAACAAAAAATTCAGATCTTTTATTGTATGACCTTCTAAAAAATGTTTTATCAAAATAAATTTTCTTCATGATAGATATAGTGTACATTGTAGATGTTTCTAGTTAGTAACAGAATAATTCTTCAGTTCATCAATCATAATAACTAAACAATTTAAGTGACATTTTATCAAACCTATGCCTCATATGTATAAAACGAAAGAGTTTCATTGCATGTGTTTGTATGTGCGCAAGAGAGTGCAACAGTGTCCATGCAATAGGCTGCATCCGACGCATGTGGGAGGAGATATTTTCGGTCGCGCGCTTTTTAATCCCCAATGTTTCGCGATCCGACCTGTCCCCGAAATACGCGGATTTATGCGAGCGGCTGTATATACGAGCGTGCGTCGGACGCTTTTAAATTCCGTCGATCGCCCATTGAAAACCGGATCGGACGTCGTTAACCCTACGGCCCGCTCGCTATTCTCGAGTGTTATCGCGTCCCACCGGAAAACAAGGACGCGCGATCCCGGGATTATTCGACAGTCTAAACCGACATCGAGACAATAATGTCGGGATTACATCAAGCTTGACGAGAGCTTCTCTTAGCGTCATTCGTGCTGAAATGCGCGGCTTTAAGCACGTCTAGTACAGACCAGACCCTTCGACGATTCTCGTTTCATTCAATCTGTGTGCGTGCTATTGGAAATAATATCTCATTTTTTTATTTCCCAGTTTTGATCCACGCTATTTATCATTTTATTTTCTTTTTACTCACTTAAATGTCACTATACAAATTATATATTTTACAAGTTACACAATCGTCCGTCGTTTGCTGGTTAAAACAATGCGACATTCGAAATGTGTTCACCCTTTTTCGAGATAAAGTCCCGAAGATGTACGAGGCCAGGGTGAATTATTCGTCGCGCGTGTAGCACTACGCATCGCGTGTCTCATGACGATAATGTAGGCACAATGTAAATGTCGTGTACAGCCGTTTCCAAGACCGTGATCTCGCCGAGAGAGACAAAAAAATTTATTAAATAATATCATAAAAAAAAAAATTTCCGTCATCTACGTCCAAAACTTGTTTCAAATTGCATGGCTGTCTAAAATTACAAGCCAAAAAACATTGTTTTATAATTTGCACAGATACTCGCTGCACATATATATGATATAATATACGATGATAAAATTTATAGTATATTTTATATCTCCAAACATATAAGCAGTATTTAGTAATACAAAAATAAAGATCACGAATAATAATCGTTTATCACTATCTAATCCTGCTTTCTTATCCTTATTCATTTCTAATTTATTCCTGCTAAAGTTAAAACCGAAACGAGTTCTTTTTTTGTTAAAAAGAATGGATATATAAAAACTATCTTGCAAGGCTTCCGTGATAAAAAATATATGTTCTTCTGTGGATTTCATAATAACCTGTCTGTCTATTCAGAATGGTTGAGGAACTCAATCATTTTTCCAATCAATTTGCCGGTACAGGGAATGAACGCTCATTTCAGAAAGAAGTTTATAGCAAAGTAGAGAATCTCTGAAAAGAAAAGAAAGAACGCGATAACGAGCCACTTGTAGGAATGAAAATTTTTCTTCTTTTTCGATCAATTTCTGCGTCCGGCGGTTAATCGTACGAAACTTCTAATGTTACATAAACTGTAAATAATTATCTTGATTTATTCTAATCTCTATATATCGCTTTAATTATGATAACGTAATATTTGAAATTCGTATGCGTAACAATTTAATGCTTCGTGATTTATATAGCTGACAATAAGTCATCTAGTTGCCAAATAACTGGATGCATGGACATAATTAATACCATATCTGCTGTTTCATAATTTGTTGAAATTTATATAATCCTTATTAGTTAGTCACGGACTATATATAAAAATATGACACATACAAAAATTTCTCTCTATGATATAATCTTGTCATATCAAAAACATCTTCTTACGTAAAGAAACAACAAATTTTAGAATATTTGGATAATTGCAGATAGGGTTCAATAGCTTTGTCTTCAATAGGACTCCGAAAAATTTTAACTTTGCTTTTTTAATATGTTGCATTTACTTATGTTCTTCGATATCAAGATTATACTTTCGATATTTATAAAAATTCCACATATATATTTTACGATTAAAAAACTTATCAAGTCATTAATCTTTTTACCCTCATAGTATATTGTTATTTTTATAGAAAAACTCAGTGATATGATCAAGTAGAAATAATAGCTCGCGTAATATGTAATACGTAACGTGTACTTTAAGCACCATTTCGAATTCAACCCTCGTTTCCTTGCAGCAGCAACCTCCGGCAAGGCAGCGGGAGTTTCGCATGCTTTGTGGAGGGTTGATTCGGCGGCCATGTTTGGTTACAGAAAATTTCACAATCCCCCTCCCCCTTCGTGGCCGGCCTTCGATAGCAGCTTGCACAACACGTAAACTAACAAAGGGCTATAAGCTCGTAATGTTGCATGAAGGTACACCTCTTTAGAATTTCTAAAACCATGTGTGCGATCTCAAAAAGCTCAACTAAACTATATTAATTATATTATGTAAACTGTATTATTTTTATATATGCCTGAAAGGAAAATGAAAACAAAACGGTATTTTGCAAAAATTTACCAACTCCCATGTTTATTCTTTTTTTTTTTTAATTGAAGCTATAACGGAAATGCGAATAAATGTTTGCGTTCTGCGAACAGCCTTTGTATACGCGGGACTTGAATTTCGAGGAGATCTCGTGGACGGATGGACGGTCGATCGAAAGGGGTGCCATGGCGACCATGTCGGTTCCCAATTAAACAAATGCTGGCAGGAGCTCGAGCAACCCCTCAGGCACCGGCGTCCATCTCTTCTTGCTCTCTTGATATACGTCAACGAATTTGCTTCTCTCTCTCATTCCCTCTCTCTCGCGCGCGCGCGCGCTCTCTCACTCTCCTGGCATGAGAGGGTTTCAATCGTCGCACGTGTCATGGCATGTGAAACTCGAACTGGATTAACCACGTGAATCCAGTTTCATTTTCGCGAGCTACATTTACATACAAATGTTATAATGAGTTACATTATTTTCCGCGAAACGTAAAAAAATGCATACACATTTTTAAAAGTTATACATTGTCTTGAATTTCTTTTAAATATCTGTAACTAAAAGAGTTTGTAATTAAAGAATTGACGTATCAGTCTTCGATTATCATGTTGAAATGGGAGATACGCATTTCTGTCAATAGATTGCAATAACTGAACATCTCAATATGTGAACATATCAGTATATAAAAATTGAAGAGTATAATAAAAACTCGTAATATCTCAGAATAGCTATTCTTATATAATTCCAAAGTTTAATTCCAAAAAATAATAAAAATATCATTCGTGAACGATATTTCAAAATATTGTTTCTTGTTTTTATAACACTAGATGCAATAGTAACACTAGATGCACATGTGTTTTTCTGATTCAATGTATCTTGACATTTCCCGCGTGCATCGTTCGCCTGTGGCGTTAAGCAACAGAACGGATAAATCGCGCGTGAGTGACGGTTTCGTGCATTGTCCAACGTATTTTAATTGTAAACATTGTGTAGTTAAATGCAAACTTATATAAAGAGCCGAGTCAGAAATTACCTCACCGATATTTAGCGAGTACATGCATTAGCGTGAGGGAAGAGACGAGAAATTTTAAAAACATTATCCTCTTTCGACTTCTTCGTGGATTACATTATAGGATCAAATATTGAAGCATCTCTTCGAAACCAGTAGCCAAACTGTTTGACTTACACGATTGTGCGTTCGAACGTCGAGCCGGTTACTTCGTTCGGCGCACTGGGTCGTCAGTAACCGGACAACGACTATGGAAGCTTTGCTAATCCGAAAAGCGGCTTAGAGCAAACGCGAAACCGGTCCTGACGAAAGCAAGTCGGGGTTTCCGACTTCCGTCGTGTGTATTCTGAGAGTCGAGTATTATTATCTTGTTAGCGCGAATAATATTCCGGAAGAATGGTTTCATGCGATTCTCTGTTTGACGAGAGCACGAAAAATGTATTCACGCCGGTCATTATCATGGTACAAGGTCATTATCTTATAAATCTTTATCGCTGTAATAGAGATGACCAATTCTTCATGGTTCGCAGAAAATTTAATAAAAAAAAATAAGTCTAATGATAAAAAACATCTAAAACACAATAAAATAAGATAGAATAAACAAATCCTCCCTCCCTTACTTAATTCCTCTTCCAATTACTTTTGTGCCGAAAGTGAAAAAATATTATCTTGTTAGCGCGAATAATATTCCGGAAGAATGGTTTCATGCGATTCTCTGTTTGACGAGAGAAATGCACGAAAAATGTATTCACCCCGGTCATTATCATGGTACAAGGTCATTATCTTATAAATCTTTATCGCTGTAATAGAGATGACCAATTCTTCATGGTTCGCAGAAAATTTAATAAAAAAAAATAAGTCTAATGATAAAAAACATCTAAAACACAATAAAATAAGATAGAATAAACAAATCCTCCCTCCCTTACTTAATTCCTCTTCCAATTACTTTTGTGCCGAAAGTGAAAAAAGTAGTAGCAATAGAGCTTTATAGATTATTTATGCATATTAATGTAACGTTCATAATCAATGCAAAATATATAAAATTAAGTTAATTTGCGGAAAAAGAAAGAGAAATTAAGTATTTGTAAAAGCTACAGCACAATCTAAATCCTTTAGACAATAGTGATAGAAATATGTACGTGTTTTTATCATTAATTTGCGTATCGTTGTTGACAGTGACAAATAGTATTTTTATAATTATGAAAGTTCTATTAGCATTCCTGTGATGTTGACAGAACGTATTGCACCATGTCTAAAAATGTACGATGTCCAATTATTATAATGACGACATAGATTAATTGATCTGTCTTCCAATACGCAATATCCATTTAAAAAATCTGATTTATTCAAAAAATAATATTGTACAATACATATTTAAAAACACACACCACACACATAATATATGACATATAATATATTAACAAATGTTTCGTATAATAAACCGTATAATTTCATTTGTAAGAAAAATTGAGATAATATGTTGTCGCAAAAACATTAAAAAATAAAACTCGGATAACCGTTCTAATTGGTAGCTCAATTAATTTTTCGTTATCGTAAGATATTGAATACATTTAATTTCTTTTCTTAGGGCATTTGCTTATAGGAATACATGGACTGTTATCGTCACTGATTCGTGCATAGCCTTCTTTGCAGAAACAAGCATCGTTACATCTCTGAAAGAAGACTAATGTAAATAATATTATTGAGCAAAAATAGAAATATTTATGATAAGATATTAACAAGTTGTAATCCTATAAAAATTAGTCCTTTGATGTCTCTAATAAACATTAATTTTTTATACTACAAATTTTAATATAAAATATATGCAATATCAGTTAATCCATTTTTAAATATAAGAGTTATATGAATTTCTCAAATGATTGCGATATTTACGCACTTACGATGTTTCTTATAGGACAAGGTTTGCCCAAATTGCTACAGGTTGTTTGACATGCCGATCCGCATTGATATTCCTCATTTTTGCGATTACAACGAAGCTGATTTGCAAACGTTTCTAAAAGCGATAATGTTTTACGTATGGTACACTCATCAGTATAAATAAAACATAAAATAAACTGTTTAATAAGAATTTACATATATCACAAATACAATGTTGGATAAATATTAATTTAATTTTTAATTAATTCTTCTTAAATGGATGTAATACTTAATAAGCTGCTTAATGAAAAAACAACGCTGAATAAAAATATTTAATATCAATAAAAATTTTATGAACGTTTTTTTATGGAATACTGAGAAATCTCAATAATAGAATATATGATTGTAATATTAAATATATATTTACGTGCAGAAAATATCGTCAATGCAATTAGTAGTACAATTATTGTGCGAGACATTATGATAAATTTTCAATCTCCATGCACCATTCGCAACTCAATCTAACTTACTGACATAGCTTCGTCCGTTTCGGATATTTTATACAGAATCCATGTGAATTTATGGAAATACATAATACGTTTAAATTATCATAAATTCGTTGCGTGGAGAACGTATATCTGGAATTGTAATCTTTCACATATAAATTTATTTTATGTAAAAGTGTGTGTTTATTTCGCCTGAAATAGCAAAAACATTGTTTAAAGATAATTTCGCATCCGTTGCCGTACGAGCGGTAGTAATAACAATGTACTGAAAAATTCTTTCCTCTTTAAAGTCGTTTCGTTCAATTACCTCTATGCTGTACGTGACGCACACGCGCGATTGGGGAAATCCAAAGTAAACATGTATATTGCGCACTTTGACATTTAGTGATTCCCCGTTCTTCAATGATATATAGACATTCCTGATGTGCATCTCTCATTGTTATGCATTGTGTTAGATTGTATCACGCGACTGTTATTTTTATCACATTTCTATTTTTATGAGATGAAGAAATAATAGAAGCTATCAATGATCTCGACTGGAAAATCATGTATCATATTATCTTAAAGTTTTCTTTAACATAAATTATTATATATATATACATAAAATGTATATTTAGATTTAAAATAATAACAATAATAATTAATTAATTAATAATATTAATAATTCATCTAAAGAATGAATTTTATGATAAAAAAACTATCTTAGCCTCGTTTTCGATATAATTAAATAAATTTATTACATCCTGTTTGCATAAAATGAAATATGTTCTCCATATCAAATAATAGCAAAAGATAAGCTGAGCAAATATCCAATCCAATAAAAGGATAAGCCCCGAAAAGATATTTTCGAATCGATTATAAATAAATATAAATCATTAGTTTACGGAAATTGAGTAGAGGATACTTTAGATGTTTTATAATTTGTGTACATATCTCGTTCGCTGTATTGCGGTCAGTAAAAACACGACAAGGTCAGTAGAGCAAAGTCACGACAGTTATCGTTTATTCAACGCTGCTCTGATACACAGATTGAGCGGTAAAAGCAGTGTAGCAAGAACGAAGATAGGACGTAGAGGGAGAGAGAAGTTGACCAGAAAGCGAAAGAAAGGCCGTAGCGAACGAGCAGAGAATCTCGAGAACTCCCAATCGAGTTTTCCGCTATCGAAATTGAATGGCGACGCATCGTGAAATGCTGAATAAGACAGTCAAGACAATGGGAATAGAGCGTGGATATCACAATTACACGCCAAGTTTTCCAAGTAATTAAGGCATCGGCCCGCTGTAGAATCACAACTCGATAGAACAAAGTATCGAAACATTCGCAATGTCTCGCGCTACTTTCATATTGCTCGTAGTAGTTGGAGTGTTTCTCAGTAAGTTTTCGCGTTATGTAAACAATTATAATGTTTATTCGATCTGTGATTAATCTAATCTATGAATTTGCACGAATAATCAATTATAATATATCCTCTAATTCTCTCGTTTTAATCTTAATTTTCGAATATTGTGACATGTGAATATGTGTGATGAGATTTGTATAATATTGCATATGTATAGGCACAACTGCTGCTCAACACCAATGCCCAGAAAATCAGGAATGGACGGATTGCGGATCAGCATGTCCACCATCGTGCAACTCAGACCCTCATCGAGCCTGCACTATGGTATTTATAATTTATGTGATTTTATTAAATCTGATAAAAAATCTTATTCTTTTTTTTATATAGGCGTAAAATATTTTATGATTAAATATAAAATTTTATAATTTAAATGTTATATTAGATTTAAAAAATCTGTTTTACACGATTCTCTTTTGCAGCAATGCGTTATAGGATGTCAATGCAAACCAGGATTGCTGCTCAGTAATGGAGGAGATTGCGTGTCCCCTACACAGTGTTAAAAATTAATCGATATATATATATATAGATCGGGAAAATAGTCAGTAATCAGTCACAATTTTTGTCTCTCTGGCTAAAAAATAAAATTCAAGCAAATTTGCACAGAGATTTCGCACAACATTTTTAAAATCCGTTGTTTTTAGGCTACAAGTAACAATGCTTGCTAAATTAGAATACATCAAAGATATTTTTGTAAACGAAATTTTTCGACGAATTCGTCCGTCATCGAAATAAATTATTTTAGTCGCTCCTATTAAAAAAATGTGTTAATTATAAAAGCAAGTTGTACGCGCAAACAATAATTCAATTCCCGATTGTAATAAATTCAATTCTAATCGCTAGATATTCGATTCTCGGTCTTTACGAGAAATAAAAAAAACCTATGTACCAAAAAAGACCGAGGGGAAGTAGAAGGGTCAATCTGATTCACTTGGGCTATCTCGCCGATGGCAAAATGGCATTTAGGGTAAAAGCGTATTCGGGAAGCGGCCGGATTGACCGTCGAGCTTACGCTGACAAAGTGAACACAATGTATACGTTTTCAAGGCCCGGAATTTCCCAATCGATCGAACAAGAATTTTTCTTTTAGTTTCATTCTTATGCAAAGTACACTAATTACTAACCGTAAATAATACTCAGCGATTTAATTATTACATCATTATCTCGAAAATTGTTATGACTAGAATTTAATCTTTAATAGCCGGTAAAAGATTGATCAGCAGAAAAACGATGATTACACAATGGCGATAGATACAGACGGAAGACAACAAATTAAGAAAATAATGATTTAATGTACAGATGAAACATGTACCGAACCGGTGCGGAAAGTATATTAATAAAAGCGTATGTAAAGATTTTCTTAAGATAATAATGATATTTTTCTAACACTCAAACATATATATAATAAACTTGAGTTTCATTTGTAATACGTTTGCAAGACATGCAAAAGAACGCAGCAATGTTCGTTATAAATAACAGGCTGACAATGAGATAAGCCGTGCGCAAAATCATGAACGCAAAGTAGACATAAAACAGAAGTTAAAAATAACTCTAAATGAAATTTAATAGACGTTTCGATCCCCCATTTCGGGCCATCTTCAGTACAGTTAAAAAATAAAAGAGAAGAAATAAATATCATAATAGTTAAAGTATTGCTTTATAAGCTCCATTATCAATGTTTCAGTGATATTTACGTGCTGGTATGTACTCTTGGTTAACATCATCGTTCAGCAAACGCGGAGTTTATCGTGTTATCGTGTACATGTATAAATGCACGAACGCGTGTTAATGGCATAATAAAAATAACAGACAATAATTTCAGATGTGCAAAGCATGGATCAAGGTTTGTTAACAAAGTGGGTGGTATATATAAAAGCGCGCTTGACGCTGACGGACAGTATGAATCACAACTCGATAGAACAAAGTATCGAAACATTCGCAATGTCTCGCGCTACTTTCATATTGCTCGTAGTAGTTGGAGTGTTTCTCAGTAAGTTTTCGCGTTATGTAAACAATTATAATGTTTATTCGATCTGTGATTAATCTAATCTATGAATTTGCACGAATAATCAATTATAATATATCCTCTAATTCTCTCGTTTTAATCTTAATTTTCGGATATTGTGACATGTGAATATGTGTGATGAGATTTGTATAATATTGCATATGTATAGGCACAACTGCTGCTCAACACCAATGCCCAGAAAATCAGGAATGGACGGATTGCGGATCAGCATGTCCACCATCGTGCAACTCAGACCCTCATCGAGCCTGCACTATGGTATTTATAATTTATGTGATTTTATTAAATCTGATAAAAAATCTTATTCTTTTTTTTTATATAGGCGTAAAATATTTTATGATTAAATATAAAATTTTATAATTTAAATGTTATATTAGATTTAAAAAATCTGTTTTACACGATTCTCTTTTGCAGCAATGCGTTATAGGATGTCAATGCAAACCAGGATTGCTGCTCAGTAATGGAGGAGATTGCGTGTCCCCTACACAGTGTTAAAAATTAATCGATATATATATATATATCTGTTAAAGTGTTGATCAAATTCTATTTTTTGTTTTAATACTTCGAAAAAATGTGCATTAAAAGTGACTAAAAATAAAAAAATTGTGAAAATTACGTAGACCTTGATCTGTTTTCTTTACTTTTAGAAAGAACATTCTTTATGGTCGATTATCTCGCATTAGTTTATTTATTACTAATATATTAGTTTATGCTACAAGTTTTTAAATGCTTATTAAATTTAATATATAATATTCTTTTTTTACATTTTTTTTTTTAAATTGTCTAAATAACTAATAATATTTTGACAATATCTTCATCTTTCAATTTGTTTTACTCTTTGGCACGTGAGACAATATAAAAGAAAGGTTTAATTTCTTTTTTCTACAACTTTCTTTAATTTAATTTTCATTAATTTTCATTAACACGTATCGAAGAAATATTAATATATAGGGGAAAGTTGGGTAAAACCGGGTAGGCGGGTCAAACCGGGTACTCCTGTTTTTTCGTAATAAATGCTGCTATCTATGGCTAACTTGTGTTATTAGTTGTAGATTGGCGCCATCATTATTTTAAAACAAACCGTGACCTTGTGCACACGATATTTTTTTTTTAAATAAAAGTTCAAAGTTTTTAGTTCAAAAAAGATCGATATCGAGGCAAGAATTGAGTTGTCGTGCACTTTTTCTATATAGAGCATCTGTTTCGGTAAGTGCAGCATTGCATTCTGTACATATTAGAGAGTATATCATATTAGTTTTGATCGGCACTTTGTACGCCGGAATATACAAC